ACCGGCCACCTCCCTCCTGTAGGCTGCTTCGTCCCCGCCAGTGATGCGACCTATCACTGCGGTGTCGTCCGCGAACTCCAGGATGATGATGTCTTTGTGGGAGGTGACACAGTCATGGGTGAACAGGGTGTAGAGGATGGGACTGAGGACACATCCCTGTGGGGTGCCAGTGTTTGTAACAATGTTAGCTGAAGTCCTATTGCCAATCCTGACAGTCTGGGGCCTACCAGTCAGCGTCAAGTGATTTCATTGAAGTTAGCTGGGCCTCCTGATGACTCCGCAGGTCAGTGGCTATGCCATGTGCTCACATTGTCATTGGAATTAAGGGAAAAAGTGCTTTAATTCATCTTGTGATTTAATTCCTGTAAATATTCTAGTGGCTCTGCCATTTCCATTGGTTTTAGAAGTCAGATAATTATGTTGGAAAATTATACATTTTCACTACATCACTACATGCAGTAAAGTATTTGTGCATGTTGTAACACATAAGACATTGTTACATTCAAAGAAGCCAAGCTTGTTGTTTCCATTGTTTCTAGTCTTTTTGCTGAATTATTCAAATATAACGAAAACTAGTGTTGATGTTTTTGTGATGTGAATTTACTGTTTACCCTATAAATGAAGAGAGAGAGGAGCCAATTACAAAGGAAAATGGAAAAGACATGAGGCTGACTGTGTGTATTTCATGAGCTATTCAAACACAAACCCAGGCCAGCAAGGTGCTGAATAAAACTGAGGTGGCCAAAGAGTGTCCAGGTGCAGCAAAGGTCAAAATGGAAAATAAAGGCATTACTATAAGATGTTATCAGTAATTGTTGTCAGGGGTTCAGTAGTGGGAGGAGGTTGGATTAAACCTCTCAAGGTAGAATGACAACATGTCCATAAAAGTGATGACAGAGACGCACTGCGGGATTTGCTGTTAAGACACAAACAATGTTTAAGGATGAACTGGGGATGTTGAAAGGCTGCACACCAAAGACATGTGGCCTGTGATGCCAAACCCTGCTACTATAAAACAAGGGCAGTACCTTAAAACAATGGAGACTGAGAAGCTCTTGGAAGCTTAGACAATATTATTCTGATAGGAAAGATGACAAAGTACGTTCAAACAGTGAAGCGTACTTTATTTGGAAGGACATTTCAGGACAGTGGTAACCTGGATACACCTCTTGCTCTCCACAGAAACCCAGCAGTCTACCACAAGAGATGTGTTAATGTCAGACCAAGAGCACACAGGCAACATCAGAAAGAGCTGCAGAAATGGACAAATAAAGATCCATGCACTCAAAGGTGTGTGAGTATATTCTGAGAGGATTGCCAGATAACTGACTTATTGAGTGAGCTTTTAATTTGGCTTGGATTCCAGAGGGGGAATCAATTCATGCTTTAACTGAATTCACAGTATTTCACAATTTTGTAAACTTTTATTCTTTTTGTTTCCGGTTGGTAGCACAGACTACTTCTTTCAACCTGGTTACCATGATATGGTCATGTTGACATGTGCATGACTTCATTTTCAGACTCCTCACCCTACTTAATCATTGACTACCTTTGGGCAGGCAAACCGCTTACTTATAGCATGTTTACAGATAAGGTAAAGATGGGCCCTTATGGATGTTTACTCTGAGTAAGCATCTGTTTGTCTTTTTGTTTTTGTAAGAGGCAGTAATTTAAAGCCCTTTTGCAGTGCTGTCACTCAGAATGGCTTTGATCATGCAACAAGACATGTTGTAAGGATTCAAAAGTACGATGATTATGTTAGCAAATAATGGCTAGGATTATATTACCTCATGAGCTAAGTGATAGTTGTGTGGAGTCTGACACAACGGCACAGTGTTACAATTTAAACATACTTGGGTTGTCTACACCAAACAGTTAAAAGGTGAGCACAACTGTACACCTACTTTTTCAGTTTACTTATTTTTGCATTTTCCACCATATTTCCTGTTGTAAAACTTAGTTAAGGGGTCAATCCACTGTTAATGTCACTGCCAGTTTTAATTCCATTGCAAACACTTTACATCAAGATCTTT